GTGACTGACAGCCTGGAGTTTGAAATCCTCTTTGTAACCACGTCTCTGAACAGGTGCCATTTGTGGTCCTTAAACACACACAATACGGTAATATTACGTTGAAGTACAGTACGTAGTACTCCACGAGGCTCCTGACTACGGCAGCTGTAAGGCTCCAACAATCCATCAAGCGGTGCGGCTTCGTAGCTTACCAAAGTCGTACTAAAACATTTTTTGACAGATTGCTGAGCGCCTTGTACCACATAAAAGCGGTTCGCGGTCAGTAAGCACAACCAGAATTCATACATAAGGTGCACTGTCGAGTTTTGAGAAAATGAAAGGATTTTAGGCCGTGCAGCCCCCGTGCGTGGGGCTGAATGGCGTCAACGCGTGAGCGCTGTTAGCTCATTAGCTGATCTTGTTGTTGCCTGCAGGTGAAGCGATGGGGGAGGGGGAGTTACAAAAGTGGACGAAGGAGAGGCAAACTTGCGGCTCCACAAGTATAATTATAACATAACATAGACTATATCGATATGAACAATATTGTCACATCTCATATCTCGTATAAAAATATATCGATATATTTAAAAACTCGATATATCGCCCAGTCCTAATATATTTTTTGTTAGTCCCAAAATTTGATGTTTTTTTAAATTTATGATTATATATGTCCCTTATGATTTCATTGATATATCCTGCCCCACTTATTTACAGGTAACAATATTTGAGACAATTGCATATGTGTCTCATTGTTTTGCATGCATGTGTTTGTGTTCATTCATGTGCAAACAATGTCAGTAGGGTGGGAGTGCAACACACACACACACACACACACATGGGAAATGGATGCAAACCTGCACTCACTTCCTCAGTCTCTCTCTCACACTCACTAAAGCTCCTGCATCAAACCTTGAGGGTGGTTGAGTTTTAACCTGACTGTCCTCTAAGACATAGCAGCCAGTCATCCATGAAGATTAGATAGCAACATGTACAAATTGATTCAGGCTACCTCAGAGGCTCTAGCAGAGAATGAATGTCCATTTGACACCAGCGTTCTTGTCTGGTCCCTGGCTGCCTAACTTGCTAAACCAGGAAAGGCAATTAGGCCACAATGGTAGAACATAAAAAGGTGGACAAGTGGTATAACTGCAGGTGCAAAAGAAGATAGATACATGCAAAACATGTGCATGCAAAGGTTTTCTTTGAAATGCATTATTCTTAAGTAAAAATCAGACTTTGAACATTCATTGTAAAATTATGTAATATATTTGTTTTGTGAAAAATGATATCAACAATGAATACATAGAGAATGATTGTGTGGTTCTCAGAAACCAGTTTGATGTGGAAGTTGCCCATGTATTCTTAGTCTCCTCATGGAGAAAGGAGGTCTGAACATTTATAACACTGAAATAATCTAGGTTCAACTCCTTGTTGTCGGCTAAGGAACCTGCAAAACCTTCAGGTTTTATAGGTTCTTTGAGTTCTTCCCATAGACTTTGATGTAAGGTTGGATGCATGTTGCATAGCTTCTGTAATGGATAGAATCATCTACCTTAAATAATGTATTATTGAGTACTCGTGTTTGTTTTTTCCCATTGGTTTGAAGAAGATGTTGCAAATTGAAAGCCTGACAAAGATCCACAGCAAAATATTCAATTTTCAACAAACTTGGTGCTGACGGTGTAGATGACCTGTTTTCCAGGTGTGAATTAAACAACATATTCATGTTTCTCCTCTCACTGCCATCTAACTGAACACTGATATTTTCCAAACACTTTCTATTCACACTTTCACAGCAAAGGGAATTGTCGCCTTCTTTTTCCCTTTGATGGTGACATATAAAACAATCTAACCTTTTCCTGTTCTTCATTGCAGTCAAGCCAACAGTGATCCACACAGACATGTTTGTTAACAGCATTGGACCAGTGAATGCCATCAATATGGTAAGTGAATACATTTTTATTGTTAATTATTGTGAAGCTGGTAAAGAGTGCTTTAGTATGCGTAAGTCATTAGTGTCATTGTAGTCTAGCATTATGATTAAATAATGCTAGTACTAAAAAGTACATTTTATTTATCTCTAATAGTAAGAAATTAATAAATAAATAAATATTAAGTTATATATCAAGCAAATACAAAAGAGTTAACATATTGCAGTTGAACACCTCATATGTCTAAATAAGACAAAACATTATAACAGGTAACAATTTTGTGTTGCTCAGCATGCATGCCAGATCTCACAGCAGTATATTTGAATATGACTGTGTGCACTGGCAAATCCTGACATATTCTGGATTTGTACATGCCAAGAACTGCATCTGAGTCAACTGTCTAAGCTTTTTGTGTTTTGTTCAAGTAAATATGCTTAATTTGTGATTTTCTTTGGGTCTGGTTTAAAGGCAAGGGCTTTTTTTTTAAATTTCTATCATATCTGTTATGATTGTGAATCACAAATTGCTGCTAAAACCATGATACTGTAGCTTTCAATAGCAGTAGTTCATGAATGTTTCTAATGCAGTTCAGTATTTTTGTTTGTTTGTTTGTTATGCTATATACAAAAGTTCTAAAACACTGGGACATCATAATGTTTTCTCAAAAAAAAAAAATCTGTTCATTATTCAGTGTCATAAATCCTATAACAGCGGGGAAGATTGTGGGGAAGAATATTTCACATTCGGTGAGATATTGACTTCACACTAATCTTCAGTGGCTCTTTATTTAATCCGATATCACAATAAAGCGTGTAATAGACATGTCGGTCCACCGTGTCCATTTCACACTTTGCCTCTTCAAAACGTGAAATGTACATGCATGCAGAAGTTGCAGCAGAGGAAGATAATTTATTTCAAGCCAACATGAAAATAATCACAGGAAAGTGTTTAAACAGACATTATCCTAGCTTAATCGATTCTGGTGATTAAAGGACTCTGGAATGTACTTCATATGTTTTTACTCACTACAGATTTTGTGGCTTTAAATGTATCATTTCCCCATGATGGTAATGCAGTTTCTGCATGCGGTAATGCGACTTGTGCACGTGTGTCCATTTCACGTTTTGGAGAGGCAAACCGTGAAATGAACACGGTGGATCAGTGTGTGTCTATTACACATTTTGTCATGATACTGGGTTGCTATATTGCTTTTCCTTAAGGTTTGATACTGTTTACTGTGTGTGTGTGTGTGTGTTTGTGTTATAATGATATTTTTCTTATGATCTTATGTGAATGTAATGATAATACATACAAAATGAATAGAATTGTGTTTTTTTAAGTACTTTGTTACTTGCCAAGACAAGTCCGTCCAACATGAGATGCATTACTCTTACACAATTTCACATTTCTGTCAGCCAACATGTGTGGGAGAGCTTCTCAACTTCCAAAAATCCCTTTGCTGGGTTCTTAGAAGGAAGTTACAGTTTTAGAGTGGGAAAAACAAATGTTTGAAATGCTGAATGTTCACTGATTCATATTGGTGACCCCTTAATGCAGAAGTAACAACAAAGTAGGGAAGCGTGGTCTAGAAGGAGGAGATTGATCCTCCTTGTTATCATTTCATGACATGAGCAATCTGTTCTACACTGTGATGCCATTCCATTTTGGTAAGTAGCTAAAACACCCACTCCGCTCTGGCTAAAGTGATGGAAGAAGAGATGCAATGATGGTATCAGTTAGAAAATGTGTGCTTATACTCACATTAGGAAGTCTGCGACCATGCCTGGCTGTGCTTCTATGAAGAGGGCATTTTGACGTGAAAGGTTGACTGATTGCCTCGTATTCATATGTAATACATGTGCTCGGGCCAGTCATTTCACACTATAACACGACAAATGTTGTTAGGTTGGTAGTTTTTCTGAAGAGCACAGAGTACTCTGATTGTACGGGGGTGTGAATCTTGGCATGAATACAGTTTTGATTTCTTATTTATGCAGTAGGAATCTCAGTGTGACTAAGTTACAAGTTATAAGGGACAGTATAACAGTATAACAGATGGAAAGAGGTCAAGGTCTGAAAAATAAAAAGAATGAATGATACATTGCTGCTTTGTAGCTGCTGCACCTGAACATTTCTGAGCTGATTTTAGAGCTGTTTGAATACTAAGAAGAATAAAAAGTTCCCAGGTCTTGAAAGATCCCAGACTATTTATGTTTATCATGCTCAGTGGGGCGCAGATGAAGATCCTCGAAGATCCTAAGTCATTCAGCCTTTCTCTTATCATTGTATTTGTACTGTCTGTCTGTCTGTCCCTTGTGATAAAAAGGGCTGCTGAAAAGATGGGAATTTTGCCTTGTGAAAATGTTTTTCAAATCTCATTTGGAACTCTTTGGCAAGGATTTAGACTTTATTGTTGGGATAAGCTTTGTCAGAAAGTTAATGCCTCTATGGCCTCTTACACACAAATCCCCAGATTTTTTTTTTCTCTCTCCTGCTGTACTTCACTTTGAACCTCAGCGCCGAGCCTATCCAAATAACAAAATAAATAACACAGAATGATAGCTCTCTCTTTCTTTCTATTTAATGTTTCACCTTTCCCTTTAACGCTACACCTGTCACGTTGGTGCTTTCCTCCATATAGTGCGTATGTTCCAACGCAGCTGGCATAGTGTCACCGCACTGAATAGGAGACAGAAGGTTTTGTCAATGCTCAGGACAAAGTGCTGCCGAGGCAGCAGGTTATAAGGTCGGGTAATACTTCAGTCGAACAATGGGGGTTATTAATTGCCCCGTTGAACATTTAATTTTCAGGTTGAGGGCGTCAAGCTGGTCTTTTTTCAACAGTGCTCTTTAGCTGCGACAAAAGCACTTCCCGGCCTGAAAAGACACCATCTCCTTTAAGAAAATTGTATGCAAATGCATTTCAGCGTTAAGTTTCCTCTGGCATAGAAAAGTTCCCTCGAGACAGAAAAAAGTTCTCTTTGAGCCCACATTTTTAATTTGGTGTTATAGCATCTCACACTTTGAAGCTGCATGTTGTTGACAGCGCTAGATGAAATCTTTTATCAGTCCTTTATCTGTTGTGTAATGTGAAGCATGTTCGGTTTTTCCGAAGTGAAGTTGAACACGACAGTTTGAGTGAAACTGCGTTTTGTGTCATTAGGAGTACACCATCGACATCTTTTTTGCTCAGACCTGGTACGACAGAAGATTAAAATTCAACAGCACAATGAAGGTTCTACGTCTCAACAGCAACATGGTTGGAAAAATATGGATCCCAGATACTTTCTTTCGCAACTCAAAGAAGGCCGATGCCCACTGGATCACCACACCCAATCGCATGCTCAGGATATGGAATGACGGCAGAATACTTTACACGCTGAGGTAAAACGTCAGTGATGCTGGAGCTTCTGACAGATTTATTAAAGTGAATTTTGGAATTTTTGACACCAGCTTAATTTTATCACACTGAATTATTTCTATTATTTTATTATTTATTTATCATTTGTACTTAGTGTTTCATTATTCTGAGTCTTTGGCATTTTGGATTTTGTTCTCTTAGTATTTTCTTATTTTTATTTCTCATTTTCATATGTTGCCTTTAAGCTTCCTAATATGCACAGAGGCCTTAACCTGCATGTAAGGACATTCCACATAAGTAATCTTTACACTGATTATCCTGAACACGCCTTGGGAAATTTTAGCTTCCTGCTTGTTATGGTTAACATTAATTAATGTATAGAAAAATCCATTGTGTTGAATGATTCAGAAAATTGCCTTTTGAGATGGAGGAACACCTGCTTTGGCATGCAGCTTTAAAAAAGCCTTTTAATTTTACATCAGCGTTCAATAGTTTAATTGCTTTAATTTGTCTCAAACCATATAACTCACTATGTTTCTGACTGTAATGAAACTAACGCATGCTATATGTAAAATAGGTTGATAGATCAAAAATAAATATTATTATTTTTTTATTACCATAATAAATAAAGTGGGCATTTGCACTGACACCACGATACATCAGTAGTGATGATAAGAGAGTAAGTGAAGTCTTCCGGACTCAATCGAGCTGTGATGGATGTTTCCCTATGCAGAACACTGCCTCTCCACTTCATTAACTTAGGGGACTCAGAACTTAACCGCTGGTTGTTAATTAGGATGGCCGCTGTGATTCGGTGCACAATGATACAAGACAATAGAGAGTGCGTGGATGGGTAAAGTCATTTAAGGTTATTCTCTCATTAAGAGGAAGTTTAATGACTTCTCCTTCAAACTTCCTCAGGTGTGAAAAAGAACTGCAGCTGTAAAAAAAATAACATGAATTTTTTCATCAATTTTTTTTTTTTTGAAATTGTAATGAATAATTTCTTGTGTCGTTTATGATAAGGATTAGCGGTAGGGTCTGGGTTTGGTTAGAGCTACCCTTTTTGTAGAATTTTCACATAACAAAATAAAACCTATAATGCCAAAATGTACCAGACTTCGTCTGAAATGAACAATACTCATAAAACAAAACCCATCCCTGGTGACCTGGTGATTAGACTGAAAAATTTGGTTTTATATAGAGTATTGTACAACATATTGCATTTTTGTGTTCACGGAGCTAAATTTCATCTCTCTGCAGGTTGACCATCGATGCCGAGTGCCAGCTTAAACTGAACAACTTCCCTATGGATGAGCACTCGTGCCCCCTGGAGTTTTCAAGCTGTAAGTCTGACCATATGCTGAAACCCTACTGATTTACCCCTCCCTGTCTTCGTCTTCTCAAACAAACATACACAAACGCAGCAAGGCCCTAAACACGTCACATGTGAGCAAAGACTAAATTTGAGCAGTGATTATCCAACAGACCAAATCAAGGAATTAACGCTGGAACCATTTAAGATTTCCATTGGGAGCACTCCAGTTACCTAAAAGAAGGCACATGAGTCATGCGTGTATTTATGTAAATAGGAAAGGAATTATGCATGTAGAGTATGTAAAGTATGCTTTAATGTAACTGGTTAGGTCTAAGATTGGTAAAAAGCAACAGCAGCCTTTCAATAGAAAGCAAGTGAAACCTTATGAATGTGTTATAACGTGGAATAAATGAACAACAAGATTCAAAAAAAACATTCAGGCATTTATTTATTCAAGCCAAAGGCACTATTCATTTATTTTCCTGAAACCTGTCAGTATTGTTCTAAAAGACATTTTAAAAAGTAACACAAGTCCAAACGAGTTAGTCATTCCATGTTAGGACTGGACAGGGGTAAGTTATCTGCTGAAGTCACAGTGGATATATGGAGAGACACACCAGGGGATATTCTCCAGAGAAAATGATTCCTAAATAGCTCCACTGCACAAGAAAGCAGACCTAAAAACGGAACACAAGCCTTCATTTAAATTTGATGAAAGCTATGGATGTGTTTCAGAACTTTGATGTACAGTATGAGCTCAATCTCAGAAGCAGCAGACGGATTAGTGTGCCGCACTTTGCATTCACATTTTATGACCATGTGCCACAAAGCAACAAAGCATGGTCGATTTTCCAGTTCGACCTCTTTTGCGGCGATTTTGACTGTAGTCAGCCGAGATCAGGCCAAACTTTTTTGCTTCAGGACTTTTCAGACACACAGAGCAGAGTATATTGTTTCAGTTTGCTATATATTGCATTTTAGTATTTGGATTACAGCAGCTTTTATGACAGCACAACTAGGGCCAAAGGGAATTCATAGGAGCATTATTGTTCCAGCTTATCAAAAGAAGTCTGAATCAATAATGTGTCCTGAATGCATTACCAGTAAAGATGAAGTCTGCCAGCCTCTGTGGCTGTAATGTGGGAAATGGGCAGCACCTTTCATCCCCCTGCTCCTCTAAGGTCAGACATTACTGGATGTCTGAGAGCACTTTAGTGATAAAATCATTGCAAGTTTGCTCTGAAAGCAGTTCATGTGCATTATTCAGACTACTCCCTCATCTGCCACACACAGCTCATCACTAGACTGAAGACTGTACTAGACTGAAATTTAAATAGAGCTGAAAGAACACCCAACTTTAACACCCATACTGAGGGACAGACTCTTACTGTGAGATGGTAAGAATGCAAATTCGATACTCACATACATGATTTAATTATGAAAATGCATCTGTTTGTCTAAGTGACTCAGCTGTACTCTATTAAGATTGTTGTTATGATTTGTATAACAGAGGAGGCGCTGGAAGTAATAAAATTATAGAAATCCAACTTATCGCCAGCTACAGAGCTGCGTTGTAATCTTTGCTTTTAAGTGATGTTAGTGACAAAGACGTTTTCGCCCCACAGATGGACTGGATATTTTGTCAACATGTTGTGCTGGAGTCTGTTATATAATGTTTCTTTCACGAAACATTTTATTTGCAAGCTTGCCGAATTGGTGGACACGGATTACTCTAAAATAAAAGACAGCATAGCTATGCAGTCGAGTCTTGAGCTTCTCTCCTGCCTTTAATGAGTTTGAAGTAATCTCCATGTCCTCCCTTTTTCAGATGGCTACCCCAGGGAGGAGATTGTGTACAAGTGGAAAAGGAGCTCAGTGGAGGTTGGGGACATTCGCTCCTGGAGGCTCTACCAGTTCTCCTTTGTGGGCCTGAGGAACACCTCTGAGATTGTCAGGACTGTGTCTGGTAAGAAAATAAGCTACTGAAAAATTCAAATTAAAACTCTCTTTTATTCAGTTAGGACAGTCAGGGTTTCTCTAGCATGTGAGGACTGCAAGTCAAGCACGCATCATAAATCATGATCAGTCTTTACCCAGCATGCAAGGTAATCTCTCATGTGACGTGCAGTAGAATTTCATACATAAAAACCTTTGAATGCATCAGTGTTATTATTTGGCGGACACATCTATACATCATATTACCATAGAAAGTTAATCACTCCCACAGAACCACCACTCTTTGTCCTTGACTGATCTTTAACTAGTTACAGCACATCTGTTGGTATCTGTTGCTGTCGGGTACAGCGTGAACATTTAGAGAGACGGAGGGATGATCCATCGTGGATTTTATCCATTTTTAGAGCCCACTTCTTCAAGTAAACTCCATAAGGGCTACCTATGGCTCGCTTCCCCTTCAAGATCGATAGACAGACGTTCAATAGAATTTTTTCGCTGCAGAGTGGGATGGCGCTTTTCAGTTTTACACGAACTGGAGAACAGTATTCAAAGATGGCATCTCATTCATCTCAGGGAATATCGCTCACTCAAGTTTTCTGTCAGTTCTCAGCATTTTTCACCATTCAACATTTTCATCCTGCTTGCATATTTTAGATATAAGATTGGAAATATCTATGGCTATATTTATATTCATAAGATGCCAGTGAGAGACTGATGTATTTAATGGTTGGCAGGGAAATGCGATCCTTGTGAATGCATTAATGCCTGCCACAGAGATTAACTTTAGACCAGAGAAAAGTTCCTTCTCATTAGATTAGCTGCTTTATCCAGAGGGACTGGAAGTTACAGTAAATGTCTGTTTTGTAAATGCAATTAAAACATTCCCTTGTAATCTCTAATGTTAAATTGCTTGGAAGGAAGGGCAGCAATTGCAGCGTCTATTTGCCCCAACTGTGAACTTTTAAATATGTTTCTGAAAGAGTTATTTAAAAACATGGATGTACAAGTCTGCTTGTCTTTATCATCGCTTGCAGATGAGGACATCTAGTTTGGTATACTCAGTAGGCGCACAGCTTTACAGTTTTTAGAGTCCAGCAGTAAAAAAAGAAAAGTTGTAAAGTGAAACAACTAGTATGGCTGGTTTTAAATGCCCTTAAAATTTGGTTTATTGTTCTCTAGTTTTTTGTTGTTCTGTATTTTATTTATTTTTTCTTTCTTTTTGTAGGGTAGGTGCAGTTTATAGTGTTCATTTTAAAAGTTATAGAGCTAACATTAGAACAGTTTATAATGCCAGATGGTGGAGGTGGAATGCTCTCCTCTGACAAACAGTTAATTTGGAGGTTATATATTGTGTATTGTTTTTGAAGTGCTTGCTGGGGGAGTAAAAAGCTGTTACTGCTGTTAGGTAATCCATTATTTTCTAAATGTGACAAATAGAAACTGTGACAAAACACCGTGAAGCATCAGATCTTTTAAATGTTTTTGTTTTCTTTCCTTTTGCCACGTTCCTTTTGAACAAAATAAATTTACTTTCATAAAATAAGAATCATTTAATTATCTGACGGCATGCACACTGCTGTTGTAAATCTTTATTTTCAGCTTGTTCTGTATATGTCACAGACATACATACTTGTATGCACTCGTATACAAAGTACCCACAGGAGTAACTGAATTCACCCAGCCATTGTATAATTTGCCACAGTTTAGCAGAATGTCACCGAGTGTTATGTGCATGCACACTCTCTGACACACAAAGCAGCATAAAGAGTATTCTGGTGTAAGTAGAGGATGTGCATCACAATGCCAAATGCTTAAACTGTATTTGTGTAAGATAATTTTTTTTAAAAAAAGAAAGAAAAGTCTTTGGATTTATTTTTATTTATTTATTTTTATTTTTAATGAATGAATGTTTAAAGTGACAACAGGAAAAGGCAATCTATGTAAGAGGATGAGCTGTAGTGGAGAATTTTCAGAGTCCTCTGCCTCTCTCTCCTTTTGATCTGGGTTGTTATTTCCACAAACCGCCATCTGCTCTCTTGTCAGAGCAGAGAACCTTGACTGTGGCTGAGAGACCTCTTGTCTCATTTTGCAGTCAGTTTGGGTATCTGACCTGCTTCAAGATTCGTGAACACAACATCTGTCTCAAAAAGCAGTCAGTTAGGGCATTATAATTACCCACTCATCTCAACTGTCACGCAATGCATAGCGCGGGACTAATACTTTATATGCTGCATCATATTCAGCCCTATTAAGCTTTCTGCTTAGGTTTGACAATAATAATAATAATAACAATGATTCTAGAAATCTCCAAAGCTGGTGATCTAGTTGTTTCTGCATCATTCCCTTGATCGTTGCAGTCATAAATCCACATCTTTGAAAGTAGATTTTAGAAAGTAGACAGTCTGCTTTTTAATTCCACTGCAGTAAATTCAATAGAGAAGTCGTTTGATGTTCAATGCAGTGCATTACCTTTTCGCTAGACACTAAAAGTGAAGTCTCTCTAAAGTAATGTCTTGAATAAATATGATGTAGCCACCCATTGACTTTAAAACAGCACGAGTTCATTCAGGTTCAGTTCACCGAGACGCAGCTTTTCAAGGTAGGGTCGGTAGAGCCTTTATGGCTCTGGTTGTATGTTTGGGATCACTGTCACGCAGCAACATGAAACTTGCACACCTTCCTGATTGTACATGTCAAGTGCCTAAAAACCTTTGCACAGTAATGCGTGATTTTATTCTGACTTTTGAATTTCTTTATATAGCATTTCATTTTTAATGTTCTCTTTTTTATTTTATCCAAAAATGCATTAAAATGTCACATATATATAATTATACATGTGGAATGTGACATTTATGTATTATATATAAATATAACTATACTAGTGTAATCCTTCTTGTGGTCGAAAGATATCCTATAAATGATATATTTTGCTTTTTTTATGTCATGATGTTGTTTCTCTGGCGATTGCTGCATTTTCTAATTGCAGCAGTGGACTGCAGACTAAAGTGTAGTGAACAGGATGACTGCCCTTCAGTTGGATCGCCGCCAGCTAAAAAGATTATGTGTCTTTGCCCTCCCCGGTGGGTTATAGTTAGTTACAGTTATTCTTTTAAAACCTTATTTTCATTTCATTTCAAGCTCTGTGTTGAATCAGTTGAACTGAGTCGAAACAGGTCAGGTAAGGAAACAGAGGGACACATAATGGTAAGCTAAGCAGACAGGCATTCAGGTGAATTGGCCCATTCCAGACAATGATGACTGTAGCAAATAGCTAGAGGAAGAGATTGCCTCTCATTTTGTGGGACAATCCAATCTCTCCCAGGCTCAACTTGTCACAGCACTGTTCTCCCACACTAATGTATTCGTGCTTTTTTTTCCTGAGTATTTTATTAAAAAAATATATGAATAGATCATAAAAAAGTCCATTATTAAAGAATGATTGAGTGATATTGTAAGTGCAGGGACTGGGGGCACATGACATCTGCAGTTGCATTGTATCATTTTATAAAGGCTATGTCTGTTTTTATTTGGTTTCTCTTCTGTCCCTCAGCCAGTGTCCAAAGGCTTGGTCTCTCAACTTGTCACTTCACATCAGGGCTCTCTGTATCGCCTGCAAGCCTATACCTGCATGTACAAACAGAAAGACACATGCATTTGCATTCACGCACACACTCGAAGGGATACAAGGAAAAAATATTTTATTGTGACAAGCAAGAAGGCTTAAAACTAGACCAGTGGGCAGGATAGGGAAAAGATAGATGCAGAGGATTTGAATGTCAGACAGCCGAGGCACTACGGGCAAAGCTAACCTTACAGTTAACCCCTCAGTGACCTGGTTAAGCATGGTTCCAGAAGCTCTATTCACCCATCTGCCATGCTGGAGTTCAGTGATAATCAGAAGCGCAGATAAAAACAGCAAGTAAGGATGCTGAAGGTTGTTGAATGGGGGGAGGAGAAGACAACAAAATAGAGAGCAGTGAAGGGTGGAACGGAGTGGTGGTTGTAGCATTTATCTGTCTGCAGTAAAACATTATTGCAAAGAATCAATGTTTCGCACATTTGCAAAGATCAGGTGGACAGGGATGCGAGGCTTTACTGTAGTTTGGGAGCTTGTGTCTTATTTAAAACATAACAAGATAAAGATATATTGTCGTATCGTGATTAATTGTTATATGCAGTGCGCGTGCAGGGACACACCCTCAAAACCAGACAAAACTTTTTTTTAATGCATGCCTGGTGGCTAAACAAGAGGGGTGTGGCTGTGTTGATACATTAGAGAAGCAAGTGTGTGAGAAGAGAGTGAGAGAACAGAGATAAATGTTGCGTTATGAGTAAAGATTTTTTTATTTTAATCAAGAAATGATTTTTATTCCAGTTCTGCTAAATCACATCGCCTGTGTGTTGCATTTACTTTAACTGTGAAATATCACCACAATAATATTTATAACCATAGTCAGAGAAATGAGCATATAAAGTATCTCTTAGATGGGCAAGGTGTTTTTCCTTCCAAGCATAAAGGAAATCAATGCCATTAGCCGTCTTTCCTTTTTGCAGCTAACTTTACTTTCCTTAGTAGTGAATGTGAGACGTTCTGGGCCGGACATGAGGTGGTTAATTTCCTGTCCTTTTAGCTGAGCACAAATATATACCCTTTGTGCATCAGCCAGTGGAACATATCTGTGTGTGTTTGACAGTATGAGTGCTTTGGTCCGTGCCTTTGTCCATGAATTATTGCATGTTTTTTTGTGTCCATTTGCTTGCATGCACATTTCAGCGTGTGCTCCCAACTGGATATGAGCCTTTTTTTATGTATTGGAAGCTATTCTTAGAGTGACCTTCCAAAAGCCATGCCGTGCAGTGCAGTGCTGTTGTCTGTGTGCGTCCGCCTGTGTGATTTAGGTTGAGTGGAGAAAGCCCAGGGACACATCAGTGGCCTTCTCCAGCTTACAGAGCTCCTCAGTT